CAACTCAGAACCAGACAAGCGGGCATAACTGCTGGCATGTGACCACTACCTGAATGTCCAGAAACAGAGATCATCAGCTGAATCTATCTCAGACGACAGCTTAATGCTGCAATTGTGAATATTTGGAAGAACTACTTGTGTCATATAATAATTGGAAGTGAAGACATAAAGCTCCTTTTACAAAGTTTTTCTGGTGGCTGGTTTCTATCATATTAATTTTTAAAATCATGCTTCATATGTAGTATGTATATTTAATAGTATAATTGTCAAACATTTTACAAAATAAGCAATTGCTTCTCATTTACTTTGAAGAATGTACCATATAGATTAATAATTTAATCATAGCATATAGTCTAATATATTTAAAATAAGAATTAAACTTATGCATAAGAAACAGTCTCACCAGGAACATGGAAAATCCAATAATTGTTTATCCTTAACAGGGGTGTGTGTGTGTGTGTGTGTGTGTGTGTGTACTGGTTTGATGTTTGACTGGTTTTGTTGTTTTGGATGCTGGGGACTAAACTCAGAGCTTAATACATAATAAATGCACATTCTATCATTAAGCTACAACCCAGCCTCTCTTACCTTAACAGGGATTAAAATACAGTTCAATAAAAAATAATTTAGTAAATGACAAACAGAAATTTGCAGGCTTTCATGAATCTAAAATATAAATTTTATAGAAACTGTCAAAAAATGGAATTTAAATTGTTATTTATTAAATGGAGACTATGGGGCTGGGGAGATAGCTCAGTAGAATAAGCACTTGCCAGGCAAGCGCAGGCCTGAGTTGAATCCCCGGTTCTGCCAAAAAAATAAAAAATAAATGGAGACTATTCAAGCACAGTAGTCTGTAGTATCTGATTTCTCCCCAAACCAGGAAACTCCAAGGGAGAGTTTGAATAAGTCATTAATTATATTAAGTCTCTATGGTGTGCAAATTGCTTACTTTTAATTCAATGTTTTCATTTAATGAGATGGGATTTTCCCAAGACTGATGCATTGTGTATTTCAGTGTATATATTGATATCTACTTAATAATTTTTGCATTACAATAAAATGTACAATAATCAAGTATTATATGCACAGGATAGGAAATAGAAAAAACTATCAAAATGTTTATTCAAAACATTAAGTACCTGATGTTAAAATAACGTCCTAATGCTGGTGATCAACAATATGAATGTATAAATTTCTATAAGAAGTTTTTTAAGTTGTACTTTACTCACACAAATATTTGATGCTAAAAAATATATTTTACAAATAAGTCTTCGAGTTTTCAAATAATAGAAGAAAATTTTCTACAGCCCAAACAGCATAGGATATGATTTATGGCAAGCAGAAAAAAAGGGAATCTAACTTTCTTTTAAAACTCTAGAATTAGTTCTTCTCATGATCTTCTTGAATTTTCCAATACATTTTCTTACATTAAGAACATATTCAAAACTTCAGTATATCAGAACAGACTATGCTTTTGGTACTCTTCTCAAAATTGTGACAGTATTGTTACTTTTTAATTAAGAATGTATTTAATTGTTGTCATGTGATAATATTACAGTGATTAAGATAGGATTTATCTAGCAATTGTGTATTTGTTTACTTTTTAGTTTTTTTAAGATTCAGGGTCTTGCTATGCAATTCAAACTGACAGCAATCCTCCTGTCTCAGCCTCCCTACTGCTGAAATTAGAGGTGTGTGGGGCCAGCACGACATCTGGTACTGGGGATTGAACTCAGGACCTTGCACCTGCCAGGCAGGCACTTATGCTGCCAAGCTATCTCCCCACCCCCTATCAATTATTTATATTTTTATTTGGTGATGAGGTAAAGGTGAAAATTATTAACATTAAAGTTA